AAAAAAAAAAATTTGTAATGAGCATTGAAAGTTTCAGTTAAAGAAATTGCAGGTCTCATAAGTGAAGAAATCTGCCTAGTATATAAACATAACCAATAGAATTAAAGAATTTATTTTAAACAAATGACAATCGAATAGAATTAATTTAGTTACAATAAAAGTTCATTATTTTTAAGTCAAAAAAATATAGGTTCCGGATAAGTAATTACCAACATGTCATATACTAAAACCTTCTCAGAAACACGATGCATCTTATGGTATATATACACGGAAAAAACGAGATTTAACTGGTTTCCATGTCGGATGGAACCTAGTTCCATCTATAGTGAACAAACGTACAGATGGTAACTACTTTTATGTAGATTGTAGGGGGGACAATCTTCGTTGAACTGAGTCCCATCTCGGATTGAACTGAGTTCAACGAAGATTGTCCCCACTACAATTTACACAGAAGTAATTACCATCTCTACGTTTTTTCACTATAGATGGAACTGGGTTCCATCCGACATGGAAACCAATTAAATCTCGTTTTTTCCGTGTACCATACGAAATGGATCCATTAATTAGTACTATTTATGATAGAGAGCGGTCAATAGTTAAGTTTCAAACTTGTTTCACTTATGTACAAGATAAAATTTCGAAAAAAACGTTTCGAATTTACTTATCTATCGAAGAGCGAAGCGCTTTTTTTTTGAAAATATTCATTTACTTATGCATAAAATGCGTTTTAAGATTCCATTTTTTGTACAAGTATGACAGAGATACTTCCCTTTGTCCAATAGAGAGCGAGAGAGAAAAAAGTGTAAGCCCATTTAACAAAGCTGTTATTAAATTACTTTAAATTACTTCGAAACGGTCTTTATATAAAAAGAGCGTAATTTTCAATATAGTAATCAATTAATTATCTTTATTCTTTATAATATAACGACGGGAAATTGATAAAATATACAATAATAACTTATTTTTTCGTTCTAATCAAACTGAAGTTTTATTTAATTTTTATTTGTATTCGGAAATCACACTTTTTATGAAAGTGAAACAATTCTCAATAACACAGTATATAAAAATTTTATCATAACTTTTTTAATTGTGATTTTATTACTTTAATTGCTATCATAAAAAATTATCAACTATCGATAGAAAAATTTCGGATCTATAATTGTTCATACTGACGGTAACAAAAACCAGTCAGATAAAAAAAAAACGCCATTCGGCTACACCCGAAATGGAGGGTAGATTTCACTGAATGAAATTCTTGATAGAATGACGTACATAAGTCGGTTGTACTACACATTGCCTAAAAATGGTTCAAATGCACTCTTAAATTTGACAAAATAACTAAAAATGGTCAAAATGTCAATGTTATAAATGTCAAATTGAAGGCAATTTAATGAGCTTTCACATGAATTTATCAAAAATTAGCAATCTCTTTTCAATCGGAAGTTATACACCAATGAAGTCACCGAAAACGTTATTTCCACTATTTTGATAATTTTGAGGAGCTACCATTTCTAAACTTATTGACGAATTTCGCTTATTTTAGGGCTCATGCAAGCTAATTGTCCAAGGAATCTATATACTAAATTTCGTTAGAATCTGTTAAGAATTCTCGATAGAATAACATTCATAAGTCGGTTGTACTACACATTGCCTGAAAATGGTTCAGTTGCACTCTTAACTTTGATAAAATAACTAAAAGTAGTCAAAATGTCAATGCCATATACGTCAAATTAAAGGTAATTTCATGAGCTATCACATGAATTTTTCAAAAATTATCTATCTCTGTTCAATCATATGTTATACATCAATGAAGTGACCAAAAACGTGATTTTCACTATTTTGAAAATTTTAAATGGCCGCCATTTTTAAACTAATTGATCGATTTTGCTCATCTTCGAACTCGTTCAAGGTAATTACCCAAAGAATATGTGTACCGAGTTTCATCTAAATCCGTTGAGAATTGTAGACGCTATCGTGTCCACAAGCCGCGTTATATTACATATCTATATATATACATAAATATATTAACTTTTGAACGAATGCTAATTTTGAGCTTTACTTGACTACATAAGAAATAAAATGACAAAATTCCGTGTGAATTCCGACACAAGGACCAATGCAATAGATAAATTTCTACGAAATCTACTTAATAGATAGATAAATATATCGTGACTTTATTTGTATAACTACATGTGTTTTACAAAGTTATAAGACATATTAATAATATTATTATTGGTATTGGTTTAAGAATTACTCTTATTTCTGCCCTCTAAAATTTCATCGATTATTCTTTCATCACAACCGGAAATTTTTATTTTATTTTTATATTTATCTATACTATAAAAAAACAATTAAATTTATTTAGCCTCAACAAAGTAAGTACATAAATATAACTATAGATTTATTTTTAAAAATAAATAATTTAAATATCAAACAAATCAACAACAGTGTCAGTAATATCTGTCAAAAATCTATCAACAGGATTTCTGCGCCTCATTTTCGGCCTTCGTCTCGATAATTGCCCACTATTACCATCAAATTTACTGCCAATAAATTCCCTAGGGGTTGATGGATTATCGGAAAATTTAATAAGCGACACCGTTCCAGCGTTTGCGGTACCGCGGATATCTGAGTTGCCAGCAGACTGACCCGTAACTTCTCCGCGGTTGAACTGCCCCCGATTTTCCGAGAGCGAAGTTCCTCGTACGTGACCGTCTCCGACAGAGCTCGCAGAAATCGCGCCAGAGCTGAAACTCCCGTGAATCTTATCCGAAGTTTGTTGCACGGCCGCTGCATTTCCTTGAGCGAGACTTTGTGCATTTCCCGAGGACTCTGCGCGATTGTTGACCCACGAAGAGGGTTTCCCGTCGCTCCCCCAGTTACTGCCAACCGAAGATTGGCCAAATGAGAACCCGTTCGATGAACTCGAGGCTGATGACGATGCCGAAACTCCTGATACTTGCAACAATGGAGTTTTGTTATTTTCTTGGCGATTTTGGGACCAGTTTTGATTTGACGATGCCGGTAAATTTTGTTCCCATTTCTGTGGAAAGTTGTTCACTTGCTGTGGCCTGTTGTATGGATTATTTAGATCTGAAATAATAATTTAATTTTTATAATTTTTAATAATATAAAAAAATTTTTTCTACAAACTTTATTGTTTAAATCTTTCAATTTATCACGAATAGCGATTTAAATATTCCTTAGCTTGTCCTTGACTTGTCCTTAAATTTTAAGCGAATTTTTTTTTATATTACTTTTTTAAAAACGGTGTGCATGATATCTCAAGTTCTACACAACCGATTCACTTGAAATTTTATACAGAGTTTTTTTATTCGTTATAGTATTGCACTACGATGTGATTTTAAATAAAAAATTTTTTTTATATTTTTAAAAAATTCCGAACGGCAGAAAAACAGGGAAAAAAAAACAAAACATATATTTCAAACGGCTGCCATTTGATAAAAAAATTTTTTTTCTTTAAAACATGTCATAGAGCGATAACTAAATCTTTCCTCTTCAAGGACTATTAATTGTTTTCCATTTCTGGTCACTGGAAGGATTGATATCCTGCACACCAGGATGTGCTATTTTTTCATCAGTCCCCACTTTGGTGGTCTGCAGTTTTTTAAAATTTGATTTTTTTTTTTAATTTTATTAATGTTTTGTACTCTTTAAATATTGATAAAAAAACTTATAAAAAAATGGATCGTAAAAATATTTGTTGTTTTTTTTTTTATCACGACCGAAAAAACACCTAAAATTCGGGCTTCTAAACCAGAATACCGCCTTAATAATATAAAAAATTTTTTTCTTCGAATTTCATTGTTAAAAACTTTCAATTCATCACGAATAGCGATTTAAATCGTTTTTCATTGAAAATTTGTTAAATTGATGTTGAAAAAAAAAAATAAAGAATTCTTTAAAATATTATTACTGTAATCTTGGTAATTTGGACGATTGCTCCAAGACGAATGATCGGTATTGGCTGAAGTAGCAGCATTTGAAGCAGACGAAGCAAAATTTCCAGCACTTGAGGACGCACCCGACGAAACGGAATTGGATGATGAGCCAACGCTTGATTGAGCGTTTGTAATTGCCTGATTATTGACGACTTTTCCCGCGGATGAAGAACTTGCCTCACCCCAAGAGTAAGAGTTGCTGTTAGCAGAATTACCAGAATTTCCACCGAAAATCGGGTGGTTTAAATTAAATGCATTTGCGTCCGACGCTGAAATACCTGCGAGTCCTGCGGAAAATGACGTTGATTGGCTTGCAGATATTCCCGGCCTGTTAGATTTGATAAAAAAAAAATATTAATAATTAAATGTTTTTTATTTAGAACATAACAACGTACAATTGTGATGTTATTTCAGGTGATTAGTTGAACAAAAGAAATAAATCAATTAATTTATTCGGAGAAATGTTATATTTATTATGAATTATGTTTAATTATAGCAACCACGTGCTGATAAGTGGAAAGTTACAGTAAATAATTCGGTTAAAATAAAATGAGTCACTTTTTAAGTCTGATAAATGTAAGTGCTCAGGAAAAAAAAATAATTTCTTATCGTATTGATCTTTGTGAAAGCCCGAGGCTTCAATCAAACGATAAGATGAAATAAAAGTAAAAAAAATATACACGTTTGAAAGTAATACAGCATTAATCACCTGGAATTTTCAAAGAGACTCGAGCTGCTACTTTGGCTTTGCGATAAACTAATTCCCTCATCAGAGCCTCCTACGCTCAAAGAATGAGCATTATTGGCGCCGGTATTCAAGGTAAAGCTCGCTGTGAACGGTAAAAATCTCGCTTGAGGTCCGTCTGAATTATTTTCATTTTGATTTCTCGAGCTCCCAACTGGAATCAACTCCGGCGGCGTGTTCCATCTCCGTCCTTCCTCTTGAAAGTACACTCGGTCTATTAAAATCCGGTATTATATCGTGATAAATCTCATTATTGAAATTAAAATTAAAATAAATACATTATTTATTATAATTGGTACAAAGAATAAGATTAACAATTCATTGAATTTAAAAACTCTCTGAAATAAAATTTTCTTTCAGCGATTAATTGACCCTGAGTTGTAGAGTACCGTCATTAATAGCCACTGCTAATAGCCATGAGGCTAGTAAAAATGACCTCGTAATTTATACTATTAGATCCTCTCAATGATATATTGTCTTCGTTATTTAATAATTAAATCATTAGAATTTTATACACAATTAATAAATATATTTTACATTACGTTGCACTGAAAAAGTTTATTTTAAAATTAAATATTTTTTACTATAATTAAAGTTACCTGCAATTTTTTAATAAGTGATTATTTATTAGTATTATTAATAAATAAAATAATTACCTGCTAAAGCGACCGAAAGAACAGAAAACAAAAAAAAAAATGGCAAGTATCTCACCATCGTGACTCTTCAAAACGTTCTGACATGTTACCGCACTCTCTTGCCCTTTTTTAACAATTGTAAATGGCCTTAGAATAACTATTAAGATGCACCATGCGTACTTAGACGCAACCTATTGGATTAACCCATTACACGCGTATGCGTTCATTCCAAACCAAGGCGTCAATGAAAAATTTTCGGAAGTTCGGCTAAATTGCTTGCTGCCTTTACTCAATAATTCGCAAAAAAAATTATGTATATTTTCTTTGTTATTTATTAAGTATATGTTTCAAAGCTTATTTATGATTAATGATTGAATAAAAATATTTCTTTCATTGATTTAGACTTAGATTTATTTAAAAATGATTTAGCTTGGTGATAAGTCGATTTAAAAATCAAGACCGAGGTCTTTGGAAAAACCTGCAGTTTATTTATTAGTTCGAGGTTAAAAAAATTTTTTTTCAATAGATTCATTTAATTTATTTCTTGGAACTGTGTTACAATTCGAGCAATAAACTTTTTTGTGATCTCACACAAAGAGACGTTTTTTTTAATTTTTATAATTGAAAAGTTATTTATAATTAAAAGATTTTTTTTTACAAATAAAAGTTTATTTTGAGCCGCAGAGAGTATTTAAAAAAAAAAATACTTGAACTCAGCCGTAACAACTCGAAATAAATTTTATTTGTTTTTAAATTTAATTTTATATCCGCGACAAGTGGCTCTGAATATTGAGTATTTTAATGAACTGCTAGTATAGACGTTAAATAATACTTTTATTTACATTCAGCATGTGTTGCCGATTGTAATAATACAATCTAGCTAATCAGATGTGCCTCGAATGTCTCCAGTGGGTAATTTAAAATTACTTTCATTGTCTGTCGGCGAGACTTCTTTTAAGCTGGCATCTTGACATTGTCTATAAATTCACAGAGGAAAATACTGTACAGCATTTATTGCGCCTCTCAATCCAATCTTATCTCTTATCTCTTTAACTACGATTGCTCGTATTTAAGTTAAATCTATTTAGTTTTATTCCACACTTTAGCGCTCTTTAAAACTTGGCATCGTCAATTGTGGAATCAATATTCGAAGTTGGTAGCGAAAATGTCGAAGAAGGAGTAAAAGTAGTGGGAACTGAAGACGATGCAAATCCAACCGAAGATACTGAATCCAGAGTTGAAGTAAAAGTTGAAGAGGAAGTTGAGGAGGCCAAACTTTTCGAGATAATTGCCATAAGTTTATCGTCCTCTTTAATTTGTAAAGAAGACTGCGGTTGGGTTCTTTTTTTTGTCTGACAATTATGCGATGAACAATTACCTGCATAATATATAAAAAAATATAATAAAATATCCTCAATTAGTTAATTAATTTATTTTATCACAAATGGAATGAAATGTAAAAGCGAATAAAAAAAAAAAGATAAATTACTTGATATTTTTTTTAGCAATTCATAAATTTCACGCTGTGAACGCTCAATATTATCAATACGCTTTTTCATCAAAAGCAATTCATTTTTATCGTCGGAATCAACGTAACGTAAAAACCGGCTCATCGAGGACGGCGACCACGAATTTTCCACTGGAGTCCAATTTTTATCTCTCATTTCCATCGATACTGTTTCAGGTGGTTTTAATTCGTTCATTATTGGATTTCCTAAAATTTATTATTATAGTTTTAATTAACTTTTAAATTATCAATTTACAATCTGATTGTTTATTTTATCATTTACACATTTAAGTTACTTAGTTATCTTTGTTATTACTAACAACCTTGCAGTCACTATGTGACTGTCGTGATTTGTGAACTATAAATAAACAAAATTTTGCTTTATTAAATAATGAATTTTGTTAAATTGCACTGTACTTTCTTAAATATTGACATTTTTAGAGATATAAGCTCATCCCGATGTTACACTCATCAAGAGCTTTCATTTGAGTACCCACATGCATTTTGATATATTTTTCATATATACATGTATATAATATACATATAAATATAAAAAAATGATGTGGGTACTTAAATGAAAGGTCTTAATGAGTGTAATATCGGAGTGAGCTTATATCTTTTAAAATGTCGATAGTTCACAAGATATTTGTTAAATTACACTGTACTTTCTTAACTATTGACGTTTTTAAAGATATAAGCTCATTCCGATGTTACGCTCATCAAGAGCTTTCATTTGAGTACCCACATCCATTTTGATATATTTTTCATATATACATATATATAATGTATATAAATATATGAAAAAGGATGTGGGTACTTAAATGAAAGGTCTTGATGAGTGTAACATCGGGATGAGCTTATATCTTAAAAAATGTCAATAGTTCACGAGATACAAGGTCATTTCTTAATTATGTATCTAGAATGATATGAAACCTTAAGAAGGCACAACTCCAGGTCAAGACTTTTCTTACGATACCAAATTTAACCATAAAAAATCCATTTTATCATATAAATATACTGCGCACAAAATTTTGCTTATTCTCTTAATAATATAGATTGTTAATTAAAAAAACAATTATAATTGTGACGAAAAAAAACAATTACCGTAGGCTTCACCGAAGCATAAAATTCCAGCGAGTAGAATAATCATCGCAGCTTATTATTGTGGTAGTTATTGTTGGGAAAGCCCACGAAAACCTCAAAATTTTCACGTCAGACTTCACCCAGTGGTTTATCTCGTACTGAGCTCCAGGTAACCGTGAACTGGTTTATATAGGGGCCAAATATATGGATCTATTTGTACCGGTCCTGTGCGCCTATTGGTGATGTGATGAACACTAGAAAAGCCATTAAGCTAACGAGCATCCCTATCTGTGTATATTTCCGCACTTTGTAATGCATAACATCCTCATAGCACCGGTCGACTCTCGATTCCAGATACAGAATCTCAGCGTCTTGGTAATGCCATTGTTTCTCCATGCACTCTATTCTTCCTAATTTTTCTTTGCTTACAATATTTTCCGTCGAGTGCTCTGATAAAAACGATGAAAAAGCTATTCTTTGTCTGTGTATGTACGCCTATTGTTATTCTTCATTATTCTAAATATATATGCCATTCGGAAGGAGTACTTTTATTGTACAATGTTAACTGACGAATGTTAATAGCGTTCTTAAAAAATAAGTCTACTTAGAAATATTGTTGACCCTCTTACGCTGGATTAAAAAATATAAAAGTAAAGAGGAATTTTACTGAATATTTTATAAATGTATATTAGTCTTCATAAAAGAAAACTTTATGCTCTTCTTTTTTGTCTCTTGAAATTTTGAAATTCACCAATCTTCCGAATTTTGAAGAGAAAAAATATCTTTCTCTGTTTTTGCTAAATAATTCAGGCCAAAACTTTGATAATCTATATTATTAAGAGAATAAGCAAAATTTTGTGGCCAGTGTATTTATATGATAAAATGGATTTTTATGGTTAAATTTGGTGTCGTTGGAAAAGCCTTGACCTGGAATTGTGCCTTTTCATAGTTTCATATCATTCTCACCAATAGCCAATTTATGATGAGAAGTTTTTAGGCTGCATTCAAAAATGCTCTATCTCTAGATACATAATTAAGAAATGACCTTGTATCTCGTGAACTATTGACATTTTTAAAGATATAAGCTGATCTCGATGTTACACTCATCAAGACCTTTCATTCAACTACCCACATCAATTTTTCATATAATTATATATATTATATATGTATATATAAAAAATATATCAAAATGCATGTGGGTACTCCAATAAAAGCTCTTGATGAGTGTAACATCGGAATGAGCTTATATCTTTAATAAAGGTCAATAATTAGGAACTGACTTTGCTATCTAGTCAACTAATAATATTTTTAAAGATATAAGCTCATCCCGATATTACACTCATCAAGACCTTTCATTTGAGTACCCACATCAATTTTTCATATATTTATATATATTATATATGTATATATATGAAAAATATATGAAAATGCATGTGGGTACTCAAATGAAAGCTCTTGATGAGTGTAACATCGGGATGTGCTTATATCTTTAAAAACGTCAATAGTTAAAAAACTACAGTGCAATTTAACAAAAGTCATTATTTCATAAAGCAAAATTTTGTTTATTCATATTTCACAAGTCACGGCAATTATATAGTGACTGCACGGTTGCTAGTTATATTTAATTTTAGATTTTTTATTAACTAATCGAAAATATTTTAGGCTAAATTGAATAAATAAAATTTAAAAAATTTACCGTGTTACGACATTGCATATATCCATATAAAATCATGCATACTAGAGATAATCAATGTCAAACTACAAGGGGAATAATTTAATGAAAAGTTGTTAATTAAATAACGCAGTTATCAAAGTAATGTAATTTTGGAAGCAGAAGCTTCAAACCAACCGTTACAATCTACTATGTATGACTCACATTTGATTATTGTTTCATTCAATTACAAGTTGAAGCTGCTGTGTGCAGTTCAGTATACTTGGATTATGAATATCTGCTGTATTCTTTATTATAGATAAGTGATTTCACTGTCGTTTTAAAATTCATAAACGCTATTCATTTTAAAAGTTACGGTTCTAAGAAAAGGAAAAAACAATTTTTTTAAAAAAGAGTTTATTTAAATTTTCAGTGTATCATTTTATTGGAAAGTCTTTGATATTAAATGATTGATATTTATATTTTAATTAGAAATTTTTCAAGGGTCTCTTTTAAACTGTAACTAAAACAACTTCAATTTTTTTTAATATTCAAACTTCTGAAGCTAAAGAAAAAGTTATTGAGACCCTCATAAAATTCCCGCCATAGTTACTCAGAATTGTGCGATGCTTAAATAAAGAAAAAAAATTTTCGTTAAAGTAAAATGAAAAGGAAATCCCAATGACGCGATTATAATATTTTAACACGTCTAAATAACTCTGCGTAATCAATCAATCAATTCTAATAAATAAATTATCTAATCATGATCACTGACTGCAGACATCTTTGAGAATTATTACTAAAAACAACATATAATTTATTTAAATACTCTTACGTATTTCACACTTGCAATAAGCATATACTATTCACATATTTTTACAAAGAAAGAGTCATATCAAGTGACCAGCAATAATTAAATGTTATCGATTATCTCTTTTAAACCAGGATGCATAATTACGATTAATTACTAACCATAGTTAATTGTTACTTATAGTATATTCAGCTTAAATTAATAATCATCAGTTCTGATGCTCGTAAAAAATAACAACGTATTTTTAAATTACTCATTGTATCCTGAGTATTTAAAAATTAATTCCCATTCAGTTCAATTAAATTTTATCTTTCCATTGTTTATTAAATTTCGCAACATTGTATTCGACAATTGATACAATTAATCACTTTTTTTTTATTTTATAAATAGATTTATTTATTTTATTAAAATAAAATAAAACTAACAACCTTGCAGTCACTATGTGACTGCCGTGACTTATGAACTGTAAATAAATAAAATTTTGCTTTATTAAATAATGATTTTAGTTAAATTGCACTGTATTTTTTTAACTATTGATGTTTTTAAAGATATAAGCTCATTTCGATGTTACACTCATCAAGAGCTTTCATTTGAGTACCCACATGCATTTTTGATATATTTTTCATATATACGTATGTATAATATAAATAAATATATGAAAAATTGATGTGGGTACTTAAATGAAAGGTCTTGATGAAAGTAACATCGGGGTGAGCTTATATCTTTAAAAATGTCAATAGTTCACAAGATCCAAGGTCATTTCTTAATGATGTATCTAGAGATTTTTGTATGTAGCCTAAATACTTATCACCATAAATTGACTATTGGTGAGAATGATATGAAACCATGAAAAGGCACAAATTCAAGTCAAGACTTTTTCAACGATACCAAATTAAACCATAAAAACCCATTTTATCATATAAATACACTGGCCACAAAATTTTGCTCATTCTCTTAATAATATAGATAAAATAATAACCTTAACCATGATCTATTGAGCATCAATAAATAAATAATGATAATAATAATCTTGATCTGTCTCATCGCATCGTAAGTTGTATTGATAACCTTTGATTTGAAACTAGCTTGAATTTCCCTGAAATATTTATAACGTCTAAATAAAATAATATTAAATGAGTTAATTTGTCCTCTAGTTGTTTTCGATAAAAAAATCGCCGGAAATAATAATTTAAGTTAAAAAAATGACATAAATTTTAAGTGAAAACATTTGTTTTTATAATGTAGTGTCATTCTTATTTTTTTATGGTTCGACGACGCTCATTGTAATATCAAGATTGATAATTTTATTACTTACGCTGTGAGAATTAGACACAATAGTAAGAAAAAATACCAGCGAATGAACGCGGACGCGATATAATGCGAAGGATACTAAAAAATAAATTTCAAGGTCACTAACCAAAAATTGATCAATCATCTTGGGTGCTAATGTGTTCACCAATATTCGTCATTAAATGTAAACAATCGGTAGAATAGAGACGACTTAAATAGCCGTCATGGAGAAACAACAAAGAGGGAACCTGATGTTGATGTTGACGATGACGATGATGATAATGGTGCTAAGCAATGCTATATAAGATGATCCTACGGCGTACGAACTTAGTCATTCTCTTGGCAACTCCGACGATACAACTTAATTGATTGTGCATTAATTGGAATTTTTATATTTTCCGTACTCTTAAGAGTACTTGATTTCTTGGTTTAAACAGAGTACGTCATTAAAGATTTTTTTTTTTACGATAATAATTTTGAATTCTGAGATCATTTTTATTTGTATAGCAACCAACTGGACAAGTAATGGATATCAAGGTCATCGCGTGTGTTGTTGTTGTCCTCGTGAGTATTAGTGAAGGTATGTATTTTCACTTTCTTTGGATTCATTTTTATCAGTAATAATTTTATTAATCATAGTTACAATTTATCAAAACATAATCATTAAGTTTTTTTTTTAGCATATTCTTCGAAGTCTCATTTAATTATTAAAAAATTTAATTGAATACATTTTTTATCACTTTATAATCTTTTAATAATTTTTTTTTAACATTAAATTTATATTTTTATTTATAAAAATCCTTTAACAATTTTTTTTTTAATAACCCGCTTATTAATGTTTAAATAACTTGATCGTGCAAAGAAATGTTTTTATAATTTTATATACACAAGTGTTAATAAATTTTAAGCGAATAAATTTAAATATTTATAAAAATGCATGCCTAAATATCTTGGAAAAAAAAATTGTCTCTTCATTATTTTTTTATATAGAATAAATTAATAGTAAAAATTAAAAAAAAAAACATCTTTTAGGATTTTTAGGCCAGTCATTTCTTAATATAGAAATTATTAAAAGATTATTAAAATACAAAAGAATATAATTATAGATTGTTATCATATGAGTAAACAATCTGTAAAAACAATAATAAAATTTTTCCTTAGCAACTCTTTACTGTAATTGGTACAATGATTACAAACAAAATCTAAATGCTTATCTTAATAAGAAATTAATATTTGTACAGGTTTTTTATATTTAAAGCCCGTAAAGGGTTAATATTTATTCACCAATAATTTAATATTATGTATATATAGCTTTGTCAGTTTTATTTAATCAGCCTCTGCACAGCTCGGCACTAATTATAATCTTTCGATTAAATTATTTAATTAATCAGAAATTACTGTCATTAATTGTATAACATGCATCGTCAAAAATGTCATTATTAGTGAGAAAGAAAAGAAGTCGTGCTATTTGCATTTTGTCAAAAAGGTGATCTGGGCGTGCCATTGAGGGATCTTACCAACGGCAAGTTTCTCTATACTCACGAATCAAGGATGCAGAAACGGGAAGCACTTGGTGGCGATGTTAAAACAAAAAAAACTATTAAATCTAATGAAGCAATACCTGACTATGACTCTGCTTTGGATCCTATTGAACCCTCGCCGGATGCTGATGATAATTATGATCCTTATACCGATCCTCCTCCAGAGCCTACCACCGCGAAACCTAAAACTAAAGCACCTACTAAAAATCCGGTTAAGTCGCCGTCAAAACGACCTAGTCCTGGGGTCAAAAGTCCGCCAGCTAAACCTAAAACTCCTCCGACACCCAAACCAACTCCAACTCCTGGTCCTGATACTATGAATAATGAAGATAAACCTGAAACGCCGGAAGAGTCCCCTGATGAACCTAAAAAACCGGTTGAAAAGCCGGAAGATCCGAATAAAGTGGATGAAAGTGAAGAGGAGCCTGTAAAGGGTAAAAAAAGTCCTAAAACTAAGAATCCCGTTGAGAAACCAGAGCATCCAAATAAGAAGCAGGAGGGTCAGCCTGAACCTGAAGATGATAAAGAGCCTAAAACTCCTGAGGGAGAAAATGAGAATCCGGAAGAAGAACCGGAAAATCCGGACGGTGAAAACGAGAATCCTGAAGAAGAGCCCGAAAATCCTGAGGAAGAAGAACCTGAAACTCCTGAGGAAGAAAATGAGAATCCTGAGGAAGAACCCGAAAATCCTGAGGATGAAAAACCAGAAGAAGAACCTGAAACTCCTGAGGAAGAAAATGAGAATCCGGAAGAAGAACTTGAAAGTCCAGATGACAATGAAAAACCTGAGGAAGAAAATGAGCAACCTGAAGAAGACACCGATGCACCAGAAGAACCTGTAAACAATAAAAAAACTCCACAAAACAGGAATAAACCTGACAAACCTAAAAATAATCCTAATAATGCTAAGGGAGCTAAAAATAAGCCTCAAAAGCCTAATGATGATAATAAATCCGAAGAACCATCTGACAATGAAGAGAAACCTGAAGACGAACAACCAGATGAGCCTGTAAAAAATACAAAACGCCCAAAAGATAACAAGAATAAACCTAAAGCTCCTCGAAACAATAAGAATAAACCTAAAAAACCTGCTGAAGATGAAGAAAAACCGGAAGAACCTACTGACAATAATGAAGAACCAACAGATGACGAAGGTAACTCCGAAAATACAGAAAAACCGGAAGAACCAAATGAGAATGACAATGAACCTAAAGATGAACAACCGGATGAGCCTAATGAGCCTACGAAGAATACAAAGAGTCCAAAAGACAATAAAACTAAACCCCAACCTCCTAAAACTAATAAAAATAAGCCAAAACAGTCTGAAGATGATGAAAATCCAGAAGAACCTACTGATAGTGATAACGAGCCTGAAGAACCAACAGAAAGCGAACCCGAAGAACCAAATAACGACGAAAAAGAACCTGACGAGCCTGAAGAAGACGAGGAGCCCACAGAAAAGCCTAAAACCAAAAAACCTCAAAAACCAAGAAGCGATGTTAAATCTCGTCCTTCAAATCGACCAGCTACAAGACCTCCTCCGCCTTTTCCAACGTCAGACCCCGATGATAAACCAAGTCCTCCAACTCGTCCAACTACAAGACCACCTCCACCGTTCCCCAGCCCAAAGCCAGCACCTAAACCCCAAAGACCAACGCGTAGAACACCTACCACCGAAAGTCCTGAAGTTGATGACGAAGATCAACCAGATCCTAACGAAGAAGACGAACCGAACGAAGACCCAGCCACTGAACCACCAGCCGTAAAAGGTCCAAAACGACCTGGCGTTAAAAATGCTCCGAAACCCTCTTCAAGACCTACGCCACCAAGCCAAAGTCCTTCACCAACCAGACCGACCAGACGGAAACCCAAAACCACTACCACTACCACTACTCCTGCTCCCGATGACGAAGACGATAATCCTGATACCGATCCAGAAGCCTCCGAACCAGAAGAAGACGAATATATCCCTACGACCACTCCTAAACCTAAACGACCTTCCGGAACTAAGCGACCAACCACTCGACGACCTCCTAAACGTCGCACCACTACTACACCCGCTCCAGAGGAGGAGGAGGAGGAGGAAGCAGAAGAAGAGCAACCCGAGGAGCCTGAAAATCCTGAAGACCCCGATTCAAATCCGGCTCCAGACTTTTCTCCAAGGTTTGGTGAAGACGATGACGATGACGAAGACCCTAGTTCTCCAAACCCTTCAAAGTCTCCATCACAGCCAGACAATTCAGCGTACCCACAAAATCCTTTCCTCAATCCAAACATGGGAGCTGGCAGTTTCGCGTCTGCTAGCGCAAGTGCTAATGCTAATGCTAATGCTAATGCTAATGCCAATGCTAACGCATTTTCATCAGCAACAGCACAAGGTCCCTGGCCCGACTATGTGCTGAGAAAACTCCCTCCAAACCTACTTCCCGATAATTTCAACCGCAACCTTCCCTACCCCATGCAACCGAGAAATAATTTCCCAAACAACCCAAACTTTGGTACAAAAGGTTCTCCCTCTTTTTCTGCACCTCCTTCTCAATCTAATCCCAACTATACCCCAATCATCAGTATGTCCGGCACATTCGATTTGAATGATCCTTCATCGCCTTCTAAACGCAAAAATCCTTTCTTGCCCGATCGCAAAAGCAGTGGCCCTAACGGTTATGGTTCTCCGCTAAACTCAAACCCAAAAAATAACAAAAACAGCAATAATAACAATATTGACGGTAAAAAAAATTCAAACAACGGGAATAATCCGGCAGGAGCCGGTGCACAGAGTTACGCAAGTGCCAGCTCAAATGCCTATGGAGGGACTGGACCTTTTGGCGGCTTCGGACCTTTCTCATCCCCGTATATTAACGGAAGATTCGGTGGAAATGATATCAGCGAATTCCCGTATTTAGGTATGATGAAAATAAAAACAAATTATCAATGGGGTAGTGGATCAAATCGACATCATTCTTATACTGTCACTGGATGAGGAGACATTCTACTTCATATTATATATGACAATATATATTATACATAAGATGCATGAATTTAAAATCGTTCTTTTTCTATTCACAGTGCATGAGATATTTTATTAATTATTATTTTTTCACAGCATTTTACTAAACGACTAATTTTATATGATAAGTAATCACAAATTACACCTCTATCATATAATCAATCGTTGCATGTGTAGGTAAAACAATAAATAATGCATTTTATTTATGGAAGATTTTAATTTTCAAACAGGTTTTTATTCTATAGTTAAAAGCATGTAAATGGTAATTATAATAATAATTATTAGTACCATATTAATTTAATATTAATTTTCCAGTCTTCCTCGGAAGTTCATTTATATTTTCATAAGGCGTACATTATTAATCAATATTATTCTTGTTGACTTTTTCTTATCGGAAATAGATATTGATTGTGAATAATTTTTATTAATTTATTAATTTAATGTTAGGATCCGGCAATGACTGGCTGGAAAAAGTTCAACGTCAAAACAGAGAGTGGTTAGAAAAAGTTCAAGCCCAAAATGCGGCATTTAACCGCCAAGCCGGAAGCAACCAGTAAGTCGAATATTTATTTGATTTTTAATTGAAATTAGTATAATATACATGTCGCTTCACTTTGGTGGTGGTTTATCTAATTAGCTTGTTATATTATCTGTACGTAAATAAGAGGTCCTGGCGCGTGGGCAATCGGCTCTGCTTCTATAACCGATTCTGCACCATCGCGTCCTGACACTAGAGTTTTCACGCGTACACATGTTACGTATCCCTTGGTGATGGGTACACCTTTCCCCGGAGGCTACGCAAGTCTGCCGCAGTTTCCTTCTAGGTGATGGTCTTATCGTAATGATGATAATAATAATAATTACGCTTTTGTATGTTGGCTATTGTAGTAATATCAATGAATTTTGTTTTCTCTATTGTTTGTTAGCCATTAATTGTGGTAATTATTTTTTAAACTAGATTTGGCAACAATGGATTCAGCGGTGGATTCAGCTCTGGAGGTGGCTCTAGTAGCAGCTCTAGCAGCAGTAGCAACTCTGATGGCATCTTTGGTGATAATCAGGGTTTTAGCTTCGGTGGTAATTCTGGAGGAGCTTGGGCTTCAGGCTCAGCCAGTTCTGGAACTCAAGGAACTTATCAAGCTGGTGCTTTTGGACCCGTAAGTTATTTTTTAATTTTTTATAATATTTTTTTTTTTGTAAATTTTTATCAAAACAATAAATTTATATATTTTATGAAAAATATAATTTATAAAAAATATTAAAATAAAATATAATTCAAGGCGCGCAGTAGCCTATCGGATCCGGCCCTTGCTACCAAAGCATTAGACCGGGTTCGAGTCCGGCGTACACCAATGAATATTTTCAATATTTAAGTGTATTATTCTGATCAGCCCAAGAAATACAAACGAGTTCCAATCTCAAAAGTTTACCCCCTACCGTAGTCGCTCATGACCTTAGTAGTTTATGCGACTTTAAACAAATTAAAAAAAAAAAATATAATTCATAAAAATACTAACAGTAATAGCTAAAATATTATATTCAAGCATATAAAAAATAAAATAAATTAAATAACTTTATAAATAAAGCAGAGAAGAAATTAGCTCTAAATATTACATCCTGTAAAAAAATTATATATTATCTTTATTATTAAGAGAATAAGCAAAATTTTGTGGCCAGTGTATTTATATGACAAAATGGGTTTTTATGGTTAAATTTGGTGTCGTTGGAAAAGTTGTGCCTTTTTATGGTTTCATATCATTCTCACCAATAGTCAATTTATGATGATAAGTATTTGGGCTGCATTCGAAAATACTCTATCTCTAGATACATATTTAAAAAAAGATTTTTTATCTTGTGAAATATTGACATTTTTCAAGATATAAGCTCATCCCGATATTACACTCATCAAGAGCTTTCATTTGAGTACCCACATGCATTTTGATATATTTTTCATATATACATATACATATAAATATATAAATATATGAAAAATTGATGTGGGTACTCAAATGAAAGGTCTTGATTAGTGTAACATCGGGATGAGCTTACATCTTTAAAAATGTCAATATTTCACAAGATACAAGGTCATTTCTTAATTATGTTCAGTTGCACTGTACTTTCTTCACTATTGACGTTTTTAAAGATATAAGCTCATCCCGATATTCCACTCATCAAGAGCTTTCATTTGAGTACCCACATCAATTTTTCATATATTTATATACATTATACATATGTATATATGAAAAATATATCAAAATGCATGTAGGTACTCAAATGAAAGCTCTTGATGAGTGTAACATCGGAATGAGCTTATATCTTCAAAA